TCTATTTTAATGAAGAGTTGCAAGATTAATTAATAATTTCTTCAAAATAATCTTTACTTCTAAGCTTGAAAATCTTTTTTAATTTTTTGTCTCAAATATATATACATGATACTTTCAATCTTTCAAATTCTTCAATTAGAGTAGGACCTTCTAAAAAGGTTGTGACTAAACATTGCATATCTTCTCCTTCATATATTTCTTTTAAGGTTATAAAATTATCTGGATATTTGGCCAATAATTTTAAAATAGAAACCTACATTTTAAAAGCTCCCTTAAATAATTGAATATCTTGTGATACTTAATTTTAGTCTAACTGTGATTTCAGTTATTTTTTTTGAATTGATTTTATTGCATAAATCTTTTATTCAATTGTATGTATTGCACTGAACACTTTTCCAGAACTTCCTTACCCTATTAATTAAAATTGTTAGTATAATTCATTCATATTTTCAAAGGTTACTTTTAGATTAGTAAATTCTTTTAATCTAAAGTATAGAATTATATATTTATACCTTTAAAGATCATCATTACTCCCAAATAATGGTTTTGCACTTTTTTTATATGGAAAATAAAAACTTTCTATAATCCAACCTTCCTTTGTTTTTTTCAATGTCCATCTAAATTTTATATTGATTCCAAATTTTATTTAATATTTAGGGTTTTGTGTGTTTGGAATCTAGTAATCATAAATTTTATATTTACAATCCCCATTAATAAAGAATCATCAAAAACATAAACATAATATTGTTTATCTTTAAAAAGATGCTTTCTTGTCCCAATAAAAGAAAATCTAACTTATGAATAATCGATTTAATCCATATTTAAATGAAATAATATTGTTTTTAAGAATAATATTATAAATAAAAAACTTTTGGCATTATTATAATGTAGATGAATAGATCAAATGATTAAATAGCTAAATTTATGATTATTGTAAGTTTATGGTATTTTTTATAACAAATGAATGCTATACTCACATCTTTAAATTTAATTCAAGATTAATATATTTTGATTATTATATGAACTATTTAAATATAATATGAAGAACTTAGAAAAATAAAGGCTAAATTTATAAAATCTCTAGTATCTTAACAACAGAGTTTATATTTATATTAATAAATATACCAAATATTTATAGTACATTGAATATTATAATAAGAAATAAAATAAGATGTTATTGTATTATGAAAAATTCATTTAAGAACAAAAATATGATCATTATAATTATTAATTAAATCAAAATTGTAATATATATATATATTTAGAATATACCTTTATTAAATGGCATGCAAAAGAGTTAATTTAATTTTAAAATAGTAATTAAAATAATATCATCTAGTTTTATAAATAGTTATAATAATTCTTTTTTTATTTAATTCTTATAATAAATTCATTTAATGCTTAGTTTTAACTATACGAATTTATTTTATTAATAAATTAAGAAATATAATTTTCTATTTCTTATTATGATAATTTAAATCCTTATTTAAGTTTTAAATGATATAAAAAAATTCCATATTAGATAATTTGATAAATTCATTTCTAGTTTCATATAATAATTAATCCAATTTAATTGATAGTCTCAGAAATATTCTCTAATAATTTAAACAATCGAAAATATTTATGTATATTACTATTAAATTTGGTATTTAATTTAATTAAGTTCGCTATGATTATTCTTCTGAGATTGAGGTTAACTCTTAATTAAATAAAATTTAGATTCATTCTTTTTGTTAATGAGATATTTAATAGATTAGCAAACAAAATCATCTTTCATTTAAATTTTCAATTCTGGAACTCATAAAACATGTCTATATATTCTTATTTAATGTCTTATAATGGTCTCTGAATTTCATCATGTAAATATACAATTGTTTTTATAAACTTGTCATAATTTAACTTATATCTGTATATAATTAAATGATTTCACTATTAAGTTTGTCTTAGACAACCATTACTAATTTAAATAATAATATGCTATTCTATAAATAATCTCAATAAATTTAAAAATTGTGATTTATGTATTATTAGCACTTTGTTAAAGCTACTGTCTTTTTTTAATGGTCTTCTATATATTAAATACGTTATGTATTCATACTTATAATATTATGTTAATATTAAGATTCTAAAAATAAAACTTTAAATTTTTTGTTTTTCTTTTATCATTTATAAATATAATTACAAATTTACAAAATTTATTTTTGTGAGTTTTGATTATAAATTAGAATATAGGCATCTTAAAGAGAATTAAAAGTATAGAATTTATTTAATCTAACTAGAAATATTATGGTTTGATATAAAATATGTTTTAGGTCTATAAATTAAATGAGAAAATAATGTATAATTGGGCAAAAATAAATAAATAATAAAACTGATATATTTTATTTCGACTCCTTTACTTATCATATATTAAATGTAGATACTATATGTGATTGTATTAAATTGAATAGGTTATTTTTACATAATTGAATGTCTATATATTTGATTTATTAGTTAGGATATAATGAAAATTGAATATGATTTTTTTTTTATAAAATATTAATGAATAGCTCTTTATACTTTGTATCATCTGAAAGACAATCTTTTTGGAATAAAAACTTGAAGTCTTTGGTAAATTACGATTTTCATAAATTGTCAGAAGATTAATAAACAATAGTTTTATTTAAACAAGGATAATTACTTAAGAGAACAACTCCAAGACGATATAAGATTTATCATCAACACCTTTTTTATTTTTAAGTGGTAAGTGTTTTATATTTTATTAGTGATTTAATAAAGAATGGTGAGATTGGAGGCTTTCTAATTCTCAAAAATGTATATTGTTCTTTTAGAAACAAAGAAAATTTATTAATAATCACATTGTCTCATGATCAATCCCAATTACAACTTTTTACCAGTAATAGAACAGAGGAAGTCGACAACTTTATGAATGAATTGAAGTTAAATTGCATTTAAGAATAGATGTTAATAAATTTTTACAAAATCAATGAAAAAATAGGTGAAGGTATAACCAGTGAAGTATAATAAATTAATAATCTAATTAGGTCTTCCTTGGAAGTAATTAAAATAATTAAAAATTTGCAATAAAAAAAGTAGCTAAAGCACCACTTGGACATAAAATGAGAGATAAATAAGCTAAGAGTCTTGCTGAAGAAATCTTTATAATGAGAAGTCTTGATTATCCAAATATTCCAAAATTATATGAAGTATTTGAAAATAATGGTATCTTTTTTAATAATAAATAAATAAGATTACATTGAATTAGTAATGACACATTATGAAGGTGGTGAATTATATGAAAAGCTATTAAATCTTAATCTATCTTAGAAATAATAACTAGTTAAAAACTTATTAGAAACTATGAATTATGTTCACTCTTAATAAATTATGCATAGAGATTTGAAACCACAAAATATTAAATATAAAAATAAGGATCCAACAAATGTAGAAATTGCTATTATTGATTTTGGATTTGCAACAAACTAAAAATATTAAGAACATGTACTTTATAATTGTGGTACTCCTGGTTATGCAGCACCAGAAGTATAAGAATATAAAGAAAAATAAAAAATGTATACTACTTAATGTGATGTTTATAGTTTAGGAATTATAATTTATGAAATGTATATTTATTTATTATTATTATATAGATTCTTTGGTGTTCATCCTTTTAGAAATTCAAATCCTGGAAGTCTTACTTTTAATGATAAAATAAAGGTTCCATAATCTTTAAAGAATCTCTTAATTTAAATGACTAGAATCTAACCAAAATAAAGATTTACATTGAAAGAATGTTTAGATTAAGATTTTTTTCGTGAGAATTTTGATTCTTATGGTTTAGATGGTCTATCTAAATATAGTTTGGTTGATTCAATCTATTAAAAATCTCTAAATATTTCTAGAAAAAACTCTATTGAACATTCAATAAAATAAGAGAAAATAAGTAAATTTGAATCTGCAAAAAATAAAACAAATAATTCTACTGCAGCAGAATCTAAAAATATATTGTTAAAGAGTTTAAATCAATATGATCAATAATTTCAAGATGATCTCTAATTTAATGAATATCATAATTGTCCAAATGACTTTAATAATTTTCTCTAGAAAAGAATATGAATGAAACTTATTTGATTATCTTATTATTATTATTAATTATTTAATTTTACTTACATTATAATATTAATATTAAGTATTTCTTTAAATTCAATCTAAATGTTAAAATAATAATAATAAAATATATTAAAGTAAGATTTTTTAATTCATTATAATTTATGAATATTAAATCTATACAAGAGTATTCATTTGAAAATTAATTTTTTTTAAATTAATCTTTCTAATTTAGTTATATTAATTGATATTAAAGTGAATTTATTAATGTATTTAATTAGATTTAGAATTTTTGAGTTATTCAGTATTTGCTATAAGTTTAATGGTAATCATTAATTCTAATTATATTAAAATATAAAATTAAATATATTTATTAAAAAAACAAAATAATAAATCATTATGAAATAAAAACTTTATTGGGTTTGAGGTTGTGAAATATAGATTCCATTTATTCTAAATTATTATCAGAATCATCCAAATTAAAATATTTAAGGGCAGGTTTTTGATATTTAATTGACGGTTTCTTTTCTTTTTATTATTTAGCTAGAATATCTCGATTTCTTGATTCACTTATAATTAAAATAGAATTAATACTATTTGTTACTTTCATGATATGGATATTTATTAAATTTAGCAAATTTCTCTAAATAATAAGTTTCATTTTTAATTTCATCCACACTTCTCCTTTCCATATACTTCATATATTGTACTCTAACAGGATTTGTATGTTTCAATCTGAAACTAGGATTCATTCTTATAGGTAATCTATGTTAACTGTGATATTCAATAAAAGGTAACTTAAAGTCTGATTGAGATTAGGATTCTTACATTTAATAATAATAATAATAATATAAATAATATTAGATAAAATGAAAGAATCATGAAGATTTATTTCATTTCAGAGGTACTATTCTATTAATTAATTTATCTTAAAATCTTTTTCCATATATATTTGGTTCTTATGCTGATGTATCTAATTACATATTCATTGTAATAATTTTTTTAGTTTTTCTTTCTAGTGATTTATTAACATTCCATTATTATAAATAATCTATTATAGCAATATGATAATATATCTAAATAAAAATAAAATTATACTCCTTTTTCTTTAATAGATGGAATAATATTTATTTATTATCCATCTAAATACTTTTATAATTATGTTTCTTTTTAATTCCAATCTATGATCATAATAAGTAAAGAATAATCAATTAATTGTTATCTTTCTAAAAATTTAGCATCATTAATAAGAGATTAATTTAATTCTAAAATTAATAATAATAAAATATAACTTTTAGAAATTGATTCTTCAATCCAAATTTATGTTTCAATTTTAAAGAAATCAAGATCTTTAAGTGTCATTTTTGATAGATCACTTGAAGGTTTATTAGCAAGTACTTCTCTATCATATTCAGATCCTTTCATATCATAAGTTCTTAAAATTTAATTTCTTGGAATACCCAATGAAATATTTTTCATTATTAAGAAATGAACTCTTAAATTTGATTTTTCTTGTCTTTCAAAAGTATACATTCCATATATTTTATTAATTAAAGATTAATGATTATTAAATTGATAAGTAGCAAAATTATATAATCTCTTTTTATATGCATTAACTTCACTTTATCTCATAGTTTTTATGATTAATTAATTATTATAAGAGAAAAAGAAGAATTCTCCACTTTTACCTCCATCTGGTCCAGTAAATTAATCAATAATAGATGAATTCTTAATTAAATCAAAACAATCTTCTATATCAATATTATCTAAAGTAATAAAATAATTAAAAATTTTAGGTGCATAAAGTATACATCTCATAGAAAATACTTAAATTTCAATATTTATATTTAATTTCTCTTTTAATATTTCATTATTTATATTAGTTACTAAACATTCTTCAATTTCTTCTATTGTAAATGGTTATGAGAATGTATCCATTAATTCACTTAAATCTCCTTAACTAGAATTACTACCACTACCATCTTAATCTTCATTTATAATTAAATCTTTATATTATATAACATCTTCTTATTTAATTCTTCTAAGTATTTATACTCCAGCTAACATAGAAGTTATTTAAGTTTTCTTCATTTCTTTATGTAATTATTCAAGAACATTAAATTCTATTTAATTATATATCAAAAATACATTATAATGAAATTTCTTTTGTATCATCTGATATTTATTAATTATTTATAGTTAATTTAAGTGATGAATCATTGAAAATTATAATTGTTTATCCAAGAATACATAATGCTTAAATGATATTTTGTAATGTCTCTGAAACTTCTAACCAACTTTGATGAAATTTATAACAATTCAATAAATTAATAGCACTAAATATTCCAAGTAGAAATTTCATTATAAGACTGAAACCTATAAATCTTTGATAATGTCTAAGAAATTAACCTCTTGCTTTTCTCATTGTTGATTCTTTTGGAATTAATTTTTTTAATGTTATTACATATATTACAGACATTGAACCAAACAATAAGAAAATTAATAAATAGCTTATAGAAATTATTAAATCCATTATTTCACTATTAGTTGCTGATATTGCACATATACTAAAATTAATTTATTAATACCCATTTAAAGTAGGAGTAACAATGTCATTTTCAATAATAACTATTAGAATGATAATAATAACTAGTGAATAATTAAATATTCTTAATAATCTAGCTGTTGATTTAAGTGCATTATATACTAAGGCTAAAGGATATGCTGCATAAACAAATATATTAAGATTTGAAATCACAAATACTATTGAAGTTGCTAATCCTGTTATCTATTTTATTTATCTCATTACTTTACAAAATGCATTCATTAATGGAGCCTCCTCATTAATTAAAACATATATAGCTGTTGAAAATTAAACAATGCTTAAAATCTAATTGGTAATTGTAATCACAAATACACTATCTCCTGGAATTCCAAATAGTTTAGTGTCTTTTAAAAATTAATATACAATTTTTGATGTTCCAAAAAATGTTAATGGTGCTTATAATTTATATTTATTTCTTGATACATAATATTATGAAAACCCATACATCGATTGGGAATAATTTAAGTCTTTCCTTTCTATAATTTTCATCAGAATGATTATAAGTGCAATCATAAAGTTCATCATCTGAATACATTTTCCCATATGAATGACTAATCCCTAAAAAGAGAATGAGTAATATTTGATATATTTTCATAATAATTATAATAAAATTTTCATAATTGCTTTCAATTATTTATGATAATTGATATTGATTACTTAAATAAAGATTTTTAAATTAGAAATAATTATTATTTGATATCTAACTCCATTAATTAATATTTTATTAATTTACTATTAATAGGATCTCAAAACTCGATTAAGAATTATTGATTATTGTTTTATTAATTATTTAATATACTCATTATATATTTATGATCATTAAAAAGGTATTATGTTTAATTAATTAATAAGATATGAAACTTTAAAGAATGAATTAATATATTCTACTCTTATACTTATTTTCTAGTATTTCTAATATTAAACAATCTGTGATGAATTATAAAATTAAATGAATTAAATTAAATAATAATAATAACACTTTTTGAACATCTTAAGGTAATATTAAGAAAGATTAGTTGAATTGACAAATAAAAATGAAAGTAAAACTCACTTGATCATAGAATTACTGAATAAGGAAGAATAATTGCAATTATAGATAAGATAGATGCAGATAACAATAGATCGATTAACAGAAGAAAATAACCAATTAAAGTCAGATATGTTACCTTATGGCTCTATTAGTGAAGTTAAATAATTAGTTGAATAATTTAAATAAATACATGCTGAATTATCTCAGTGAAAATTCAATCCATTATATAATGTTCATTATTTTCATTTTTCTTAATCTTAATTAATTCTTGCTTATATGAACAAACTTAATTATTTATTAAATCATTTATTTTCAAAGATTCATTAATAATCATATTATTATTACAACATTTATAAACATATTATTTTTTAGGATAATATCACTTCTTGAATTGTGAAATAATTAGAATCTAGAAATACTCCTTCATTAATTTTCGAATAATCCATATCAATTTCATATTAATAGATTTAAATTACTATTTATAATGAGTTTCATTATTTAAATAATCTACAATCATTTTTAATAACCAAACAAATATTATTTTACTATCTAAATATCTTATACATTAATTACAACTTTTAATATCATTCATCACAATATAAAATATATATTAATTAACAATATAGATAACTTGTTGTTATTTGATATGAAATTTAGCTGAACAATCTTTAAGTTTTTTATTTATCTATAAAAATAAAAAATGCAATAACACTTCAACTAAGGTATAATAATTTATTTATTTTAATAATTTTTTCCTTTGATCGCTTTACTATATTAATTCATTCCTTACTAAATTTATATATTCACAGTCTAACTTAATATCAATAATTTATTAAATATAATTTGATAATTATATCAATTCTAAACATAGTTCTGGATCTAATTTAGAATGGGTTTTTTGAATTTTTCTTCTCTTTTATGTAATCATTCGATTGTTAATTATATATATATAACATTATGTTTGAAAGTTATGTTCATATTATGATAAGTCATAATCTTCTATAAGAATGTCAATGTAATCTTTATTGTTTTTCTCTCTAATCTCTATTTAACCTTTTATTATTAGAAGAACTTCTAGATGACTAAAAGACATGAGATAAGTTTGGCAATTCTTTTCTGATAATATTTGTTATTACTCTCTATTAATAATCTTGGTTAAATCTGTTCAAGTATACTTCAAATCATTAACTTCATCTATTTCTCAAATAGGTTTAAATATAATAATAAAGAAAAAGTTGAAATAATTTTATTTCTATGTTTCAATTTAAAGTATTTAAGTTTAAATAAATAAATATGAATGAATGAAGATAAAGGTTCGTTAAATAAAATGTTAATTCTAAATTTAATAAACTTATTTATAATCATATTAATATTAGAAAGTGCTTGACTTATTAAATTGAAAGATTAAAAATTGTTGAAAAAAGATCTTTTTTACATTAAAATTTTAATAAATGATATCAATTAAAATTATTAATTGATTGACAATCAATAGTTAAGAAACCTTTATATTTTTAATTTAGATATCACATTATCATTAATTAATGATATATTAGGAAAATATATGTCTTAATTTAAAGTAAAGGAAACACAAGAATAGGGTGTTTAAGTGAAGTATCACAAGAAATGTTATAAGCACATAGATTAATCAAATTGTCTGATATGGAATAGAAAGAAAATTAAAGATATTCAGCATAAGTATTTAGATAGTATGAATAAGCAACTTAATTTTCTAAAATGTAAGCTTTAAATATGGGATTAATGGAAGGAGAAGGTTTATATGCATTAATTTTAATCTTATTTTAAGGTTGTTATCTAGTTGCCACTGGATATTTAGATCCAGAATTAACAAAATACTTTATTTAAGCAGTTTATATGGTCAATACTGCTGCTATTTATAAAACTATACTTGATATACATCCAAATCTTCATGAATCAGAATTTTTTAATCAACCAGATTTGACTTATTATAAGGACCAAGTGGATCTGGTAAAATAATACCGTAAATTTATTAACTAAATTATTAACACCATCACCAGGTGAAATCTTAATTGATGGAGAACCTCTATCAAAAAAAGATTTTAAATTGATTTAATAATATATTTCTTATGTTTAATAGGATGGAATCATATTTAATGCAACTGTTTATGAGAATATCATCTATGGTAATCATGGATATGACCAGAGAATGAAAAGAATTATTTTGGCAGCTAAAATGGAAAGAGCACATGATTTTATATAGAATATGTAAAATAAATATTAGACTAAATTAAAATCAGATGGAACAACTTCATTATCTGGAAGATAGAAATATATTTTATTATAAAATATTTTATAACAATAATAAATAAAGAATCTTATAATAATATTACTTTTTGAACAATTTATCTAAGTTTATATTAAATTATTTTAAATTCAAATTAATAAAAAACTTAAATTGTTTCATATTTTTTAGTGAGATATAGAATTTGTTTAATTAAGTTATGATCAATGTTTCTTCTCTATTCATTCTTTTGAAACTATTAAGAGTCTAAAATTATAAAATCAATTCTTTTATAATAATAAATGCTTTCATCAGAGTATATGTTTTATTAGCAAGTACAGAACCTATGAGAATAAATGTTTATTAAGATGGTCTAGTTATATTTGCTATTAAACCATATGTAGCACCTACTTCTAATAATCTTGAAGATGTTTGTATACATTTGACTAATTATGCTATAAATAAAGAAAATCCTAATTTTATATTCAATAATGATGTATCAAATATAGATGTTGGGCATAAAAGATCAATTAAATCTGTTTTTGATAAATTAGAATAAGAAGGATACAATATCCAAAAATTATGGTAAGATATGTACAAATTATTTATTAAAACATTTTGCACAGTTCAACCTATTTTTAATCATCATTAAAAATCATGTTAACTAGATAATTATGCAAACAATATGTGCTTTGAAATATTAGGTTTTGATATTTTCTTAAATCATAAACTCTAGTCATATTTATTGGAGGTTAATCTCACACCCAGTTTTTCAACTGATACTCCTTTAGATTCTCTTATTAAAAAAAATCTTATTATGGACTCTCTTATTTTAATGAATGTTAGTTTTAAAGCAAATGAATAAATTATATCCTCCAGAAAAGAATAATTACAATTAAGATTCTAAACAGGCTAAAAACAGAAACTTACTTGATAAGAAAATAGACTGTAATTGAAAAATAGAAAAAACTTAGGGACGAGTATGAAAATAAAAATCTAGGTGATTATATTAAAATATATCCATTATAAGATTCTGGAGAATATACTCGTTTTACAGAATTTGCATCTTAATTATTAGATAATTGGACTGGAACAAGTAAATATAAAACTAATTTATTTAAGATATCAGAAAGAACTAAAAAAAAGAAATCAATGAAACATCTAATAAAAATATCAGATAAAGTGTGAATTCATCACTAAGACCATCAATTCTTCCAAAAATAAAGGATCGATAAATCAATTTATCTGAATACTAAAATGATGAATCAGAGATTAAAAATATATCAAGATAAGTTGCCATTTAATATTAAATAAAAAAATAGGTATTTTTATAATATATATTTTTAAGTAATAATTAAATATGAAAGTAGTATAATAAATATCATAATCATTTTTTATTTAGATATCTGAAATAATTAAAATCAACTTTGTTCTTCTAATAAGAAATAACAATTATTTAAAATTCAATAAATGTGACAATATAACCTTAATATAATATAATATATTAAGCATTTTTTAATAAAAATTCAACACATTATAAGGTTTTTCTAAAATTTTGAATATGTTATGATTTATAAGCAAACCATTTTCTTCTATTGAAAATATGATTTTTTAACAAAAATACAACGAATGAAGTAATTGGTGATGCAATTTTGATTGTCAAAGGATTTTTTTTTTTAAAATTGCGCAATCAAAATTTCTTTCAAGAGATGTATTGAAAAATGGGGAAAATTGATAATTTATTATATATACTTATCTCAAATGGCAGAGATAGATCTAACGCAACCCTTCTATTCTTATCCAATAGAAAAAGTTGTTTCTTCTGTAAAAACAGATCTAGCGAAGTATAATTTAGATATATTTTTTAGAGGATTATCAAATGATGAAGCAAAGGCAAGATTAGCTAAATATGGAACAAATGAGCTTGAAAAGGAAGAGAAAGAAAGCATTTGGGAGAAAATAAAGGAATAATTTGAAGATAATTTAGTAAGAATTTTGCTACTTGCTGCAGTGATATCATTTGTGATTTCTCAATTTGAAGATCACGGAGAAGTGCATGCAGTTCCTCCTTGGGTTGAACCATGTGTCATCTTCACAATTTTGATTTTGAATGCAGCTGTAGGAATATGGCAGGATCTAGATGCAGAAAGAGCCATAGAGGTATATTATATACTATAATTTTAGGCATTAAAAGACTTATAATCTCCACATGCCATAGTACTTAGAGATTCAAATTGGGGAAAGATTGAGGCCAAAGACTTAGTAGTAGGAGATATTGTAGAGATAAAATAAGGAGATAGAATTCCTGCAGATTTAAGAATGGTAGAGTTGAAAACTATAACATTAAAAACAGATTAAGTAATACGAATATTTATAATGTTTAGTCAATTCTAACAGGAGAAGTTAATCCAGTGAATAAAACAACTGATCCCGTTGTTAAGGACAAAGCAGCTGTTTAAGATAAAATTAACTTTTTGTTTTCAGGAACATTAGTATCTAATGGAACTGCTATAGGAATTGTTTGTTGTACAGGAATGAAAACAGAAATTGGAAAGATCTAGAAAGAAGTTTAAGAAGCAGCAAAAGAGAAATAAGAAGATGATGATCCATTATCTAAAAGATTAGATGAATTTGGAGATAAGTTAGCAAAAGTTGTAACTTATATTTGCATAGGCTGTTGGCTTATGAATATAAGTAATTTTTCAGATCCTGCACATGGAGGAACTATTATGGGAGCTTTATATTATTTTAAAGTTGCTGTAGCATTAGCAGTAGCTGCTATTCCAGAGGGATTGCCAGCTGTTATTACAACTTGTTTGGCTCTTGGTGCTCGTAGAATGGCTAAATAAAGAGCTATTGTCAGAAAATTACCAAAAGTATAAACATTGGGATGCACAACTATCATTTGCTCAGATAAAACTGGTACTTTAACCACTAATGAAATGTGTGTTAAAGAAATAGTATTATTGACAGGAAGAGAAGCATCAACAGTTTAAGTATTTCCAGTTGAAGGTACTTCATATCATCCTGAGGGTAAAATTGAGAAATTGGAATCTACTTTAGTAAAAGGAAATGGATTAACTGCAAACCTTAAAAGATTAGCATAATCTATGGCTTTATGCAATGAATCTAAATTATTTACAGATAAAGGAAGAGTTTAAAGAAGTGGATTACCAACTGAAGCTGCTTTAAGAGTTTTAGTTGAAAAAATTGGAAAATATGATAAATCATTTTAATCAAAACCAATCTTAGATGCACCAGAACAATATAACGAAGCTATTTCTTCTGAATTTACTAAAAGAGCTACTCTAGAATTTACTAGAGATAGAAAGAGTATGTCTGTATTAGCTAATTCTAAAAATGAAAAAGGAAATGTCTTATTTATCAAAGGAGCTCCTGATTATTTACTTGAAAAATCAAATTAAATTATGAATGTTGATGGAGAAGTTGTTTAATTGAAAGCTGAAGATAAAGCATAGTTTTTAACAATAGTTAAAAATTTAGCTGAAAAAGGATTAAGAACATTAGCCATTTGTGTATAAGAGGAATGTGGATAATTGAGCACTTATGATGGACCTAAACATCCTGCTCATAAATTATTAATAGATACTAATACATATAAAGATATTGAAAATAAACCTATCATTATTGGTGTTGTTGCTCTTTAGGATCCACCAAGACCAGAAGTAAAAAGATCTATTGAAAAATGCAGAGAAGCTGGTATTTCAGTCATTATGATTACTGGAGATATTAAAGAAACAGCTTAATCTATTGCTATGTAAATTGGTATCCTACATAATCAATCTTAATTTGCCACCCATTCCTTCACTGGACTTGAATTTAGTTAAATGGGAGAAGAAAAATAGAAGAAAGTATTAACATAAGTAATTGGAAAACCAAGTGGGTTGGTATTCTCAAGAACTGATCCATCTCACAAAAGAGAATTAGTCAAATTATTAACAGGTCAACTAAATCAAATTGCTGCTATGACAGGAGATGGTGTTAATGATGCTCCAGCTTTAAAATAAGCTAGTATTGGTATTGCTATGGGTATTGCTGGTACTGAAGTTGCAAAGGAAGCCTCAGATATGATTTTAGCAGATGATAATTTTGCAACTATTGTAAGAGCAGTTGAAGAAGGCAGAGCAATTTACTAAAATATGAAGGGATTCATTAGATATATGATTTCTTCAAATATAGGAGAAGTTGTTTCAATTTTCACATCATCATTATTGGGAATACCTGATGGATTCAATTCAATATAATTATTATGGGTAAATTTGGTCACAGATGGATTACCTGCAACTGCTTTGTCTTTCAATCCACCTGATCCTGATGTAATGTAAAAGCCACCAAGGAAACATGATGAACCAATTATTACTGAATTTGTCTTTATTAGATATTGTGTCATCGGAACTTATGTTGGATTAGCTACAGTGTTTGTATTTGTCTATTTCTATTTGGGATATGAATGGGCTGGAGATGGTCATCCAATTGTTACATTCACTTAACTAAGAAATTGGGGAGAGTGTCATTATTGGGAAGGATTCAAAGTAGCCAATTTTGATAAGTATGATTTCTCAAAGGATCCATGTCTTTATTTCTCATGGGGAAAATAAAAGGCATCTACTTTAAGTTTATCAGTATTGGTTGTTATTGAAATGTTCAATGCTTTAAATGCATTATCTGAAGTATTAGCTTTTGTTTATAATTTATAGGATAGCTCATTATTAAAAGTAGGAGTATTTGCAAATCCATACTTAATAATGGCTATATTTGGATCTATGACATTGCATTGTATGATATGCTATGTTCCACTATTTGAAAATATCTTTAACACTGTTCCTTTAACTCTCAATGATTGGTAATATTATTTATTTATTATAGGATTCTTGTATTGGCAGTGTCTGCTCCAGTTGTATTGGTTGATGAAATATTAAAAGTATTTTCAAGAATTAGAAATGCTAAATTATTAGAACAGAGAAAGAAACTTGATTGATTTATTGAGTGTTTATTAATATAAATAGAATAATAAATATAATCAAGAATATGTCACTCTTCTTTTCAAAAACCCATCCTTCTTCATTTACATAACAGTTACTTTATCATCTAGAAAGGGATTTCGAATATTATTTTTATATACATCTCTTTGAATAGTAGCTTCATCTATTTCACCTAGAAATGCTCGATATTCTTCAGATTCTTCACTAAGACTCTTTTTTCTTTCCTCAATCTTCTCTAAGAATATTCTATCATTTTTCCCAGAATTATATACTTTCAAATATCCATTATAGACCTTCTCTTTTTGAATGCTAGTATTTTCATTCAAACACAATTAAGAGAATGATTTATAATTTTTGAACATTGAATCCAATTCATAATTGATTTCCTTCTACTTTTTAGGTATTCTTTTCCTTAGTTCTTCTTTCATTACATCCTATATCACTTTAGATTTTCTGTTTACGACATCTCTATTTATTTTATCAACAAAAGTAGATACAGTTGATAAATCAGATGATCCTTTAAACGACTTCTTTAGAGAATATTTTTGAACAGCTATTTCAAGTGCTTTTTAACTCTTGCAATATTGTTAGAGTGAATTGATACTTCTAATGATTTCTTATTTATGATCAAATTTATTAATATTCATATGTGGTTCCTAAGAAGGATTAGATATTCGATTATGCTTTTATTCCATCTTGATTTCAAAGTAAGACTAGTTTTTAGGAACCTAAACAAAAATTCAATTTAATACTTTTGTATTGCTTATTGAACTGATTCCCATTTATGAAATTCTATTTTCTTGTTTTAGTCTATAAATTGCTTTTCTTAGACTTGCAGACCTTATTTATACGCTAGATGTAGATAGTTGTGTTTAACGATTACTTATTCCTGATTAAATAGATGTACTTAAGTCTGCAAAAGTAAATGCTTTTTTCATTAATTATTAGATAATCAATTTAAAGTGAAATAAAAATACTAAAATTAGAATTCATTAATCAATAGTTTTTAGATATTCTCTCAAAATATGAAGTAAAATAAAATTTATTTATAAAGCCTAGAATTGAAATTTAATATTTTCCTGAAAGGATAATCAAATGACTTTAAACCATAAAAATAGTGTTGTATTATATATTTAAAACAAGCTAGATCACTTAAGATTATAAAATTTAGTAAAAGAAAATGGAGTATCAAATTTATATAAGATAGGTTTATTCATATTATTCAGATGATAAATTTGAAGTCAAATAGATGATTTTCCTGTTGAAATCAGAAGGAATAAAAAAAGAAAATAAGAATTCTAAATTAAAATTTAATTATTTTAATTTTATATCTGGGGAGTAACAATATGTCAAACAAAATATAATATATATTTAATCTGTTGAATGCAATTAAGAATATATTAAAACTCATTTTTTATTAAATACTAAGAATTTATTTGAAGACTAGGTGGTGTGTTATCAAGAACTTCTCCTTTATAAGATAATGAATAAAGAAATGATTTTCTACTAAAGATAAGCATATTTACATGAAGAAAAAATGAATTTTATGCCGAGAATACAACCTATA